GGCCGTGTGTTACTGAAGAAAAGTAAGGTCTTAGTGCTCGATGAAGCTACTGCATCTGTCGACACAGCTACAGATAATCTGATTCAGCAAACCCTTAGGGAACACTTTTCTGACTGTACAGTTGTAACCATTGCGCATCGGATAACTTCTGTTCTAGATAGTGATATGGTTCTGCTTTTAAATCATGGTCAGTATTATACTATATGTCAATTTCATTTGTATCTTAAGGTGCACCATGTAGTAAATTAATTTACTTTGTCTTAACTGGTGTAGGACTCATCGAAGAATATGATTCTCCAGCAAGATTACTGGAAAACAAATCATCATCTTTTGCACAGCTTGTACAAGAGTACACTACAAGGTCAAATTCTAGTTTCGACCATTGAACATCAAACTTTAATAAATGCCAGCTGACAATTTTTCCGATGATGACGATGAGAATCTTGGTATGTATGTGATTTAATTTTTGCAACCTTTGCTGGGAAAGAGAAAGAGGATGGATGTCACTCAATATGTACTTCATATACATCTTTGTTTGAATAAAATATCAATCTCCTGTCATTGCAATATCTGTTGTTGATAATGGTTGTGGTATCTTCTCTGCCCAAACCGAACCATGCTTGATAAATACTTTGTTTTATGATCTGGGTATCCTGCAAGTTATGTCCAGTTTCCTTCTTCACAGTGTTCTTGAGCTTCCCCATTAGCACTGCCACTGTACTACACTGCACTGCACTGGCATAATGAAGGGAAAAGATTGAATTCTCAAGTTGGTAAGGGGCAAAGTGTTATCTTTTTAGCCTCAGTCCCTCCTCCCACATGAATTCTGCAAAATCCACAGAAATAGCCTCCCTTCCCTTGTAGAGATGATAAAAGGGGTGTGCATCTCTGTTAGAGCTTGTTTTGTTTGAGGAGAGCATGGGGGTGAGAAAGTTATTTCAACTAAATAAATTATTTTATTGATTCAACACTCCCTTCTCTCAATTTCCCTCAAATTAAATAAGCTAAAAGGTGTTATATTTTGTTCTCCAACTAAACACAATTTGGTTTTATAACACGTTAAAAATCTTTACAATACATTTTTTTTTTCTTTGGCATTTGCGGTCAAATCAATTTTCATTTCCTTCAAGACTAACCTCCTCTCTAGTTATTGTAAGAGTTTATACACGTATCTCCCCAATACATTCAAAAAATGTTAATTTTATGGGCTGCTGCATTTAACCTTCCAAACCTAGAACCTCCCCCTCCCCCCCCTAAACAATCATCTTTAAATTTTGATAATGCTATATGGATGATTGGTCCCAGGCTGATTGGTCCCTAGTACATTTTTATTTTTACTTGTTAAATTTATTTTTTATTTTATTTTTAAGTTTTATAATTTCTTATTTAAATTATTAAACACTTATATCTTCTAAATATTAAATCTTAAACTTTAAAAATTTAAATGTAAACTCATTAAATATTAAATTTTAAGAAATTTAATCTTTAAAATTGTAAAATTCTGACCCTTAAAAAGTTTATATCCTAACATTTTAAATAATAAATATTAAACCATTACAAATTTTAAACTCTAACAGCATAAGTTTAAATTAATTTATATATATATATATTAAACATGAAAGTGAAACTCAAATTTCACATTTTAACTTACATAAAAATATCTTTACAAAGAAATAGGTGGTCATTAGACCACTGAGGACTTCTCTTAAATTAATTTATATTAAAAAAAGTTAAAAAACAAATATAAATTTAAATTATTAAAAATAGAGGTTAAATAATAAATTTAATTTTTTTTAAAAAGCTTTTGATGTCAGGTTAGTGTATGTTTAGTACAATTGGTTGGAAGTTTTTTTGGATTTCAAAAATTTTAATTGCATTAAATATTACAATTTGTAAAAAATATTATAATTTTTTATAAATCAATTTTTTATTTATTTTATTACAAATCACAAAAATATTAAATTGATGCTTCTACAAAAAATTTTTATTTAAATTTTAATAAAATTAATATATTATTTTTTTTATTTTTATATTTTTATTTAAAAAAATATTTTTATAATAAATTTTTTTAACAAAACTTTTATTAAAAGTTTCAACCAAAACACCGTGCACTTAATAAGCTCCCATCAGCTTGCTAGAGGGTTCGGTCCCTCGTATATTTTTTTTTAATAGAAACGCTATTAGTACCAAACTACCTATGCAATAGGCCTCTGTCGGCTTGCTAGGGTCAGTCCCGTGACATTTTCTTTGGGTTAAACTTTTAATTTTATCTTTTAATTATTATATAAATTTTGAATTGAATCTTAAATTAAAAAAATTATCAATTTAATTTTAAAAATTTATAAATTTAACGTTAAATTAATTTTTTTGAATAAAAAATAATTGATTTATCTACTATTTAAAAGTAAAATATTATCATTGTACGATCACATAACACAAATTATAAAATACGTCAATTATTTTTATACGAAATAACTAATTTAAAATTAAATTTAAAAATTTTAAAGACTAAATTAAAAAATTTTGTAATTTAAAAACCAACTCAATAATTTATATAATAATTAAGAGATACCCGCGGATGAGTGAATATGTTGGTACGAAGCTTTCAATTTAATCAGATTTCAAGTGTTAAGAATGCAATTTTATTAAAACTTGTAAGGGAAAGTTTTGCTTCTCATTGAGTCTTACCCAACTTGAATCTGAATTAATTAATGATCTAATAAACTTCTGAATAACAGATGATCCATAAAAAAAAAAATAAGAGATTAAATTAAGGGTGTAATTTTTTTTTTTTCCAAATTTTACACGTACTTGGAAAATGCCGGAGGGGCCGAAGCACAGATAGGCCGAACTGGCGGAATGGACGTGGAAGCGTCACCTCCGTTGATTTGCTAAGACAAGAGCTTCCTCTGTAGTCGAATATTACGTCTCACGCATCCCTAACTGACTTTCTCCTTCAGTAGCCAGCCATTACAGACTCTGGCTCAACTAAATTTCTCCTCTCTTTAGGGTTTCTCTTCAACTATTTCGAATCCCAACTTCTTCATTCCATCATAAATATACCCTTATGTCGTTACATCACACCTAGCATTCCCGAAGGGAATCAAAGGTTTTTCTTTTGCTCTAGCTATTGCAATTTGTGACTTGTTAGTGAATATGGTGCTTGAATCCTCTGTTATTAGTCGACCCGCCTTCTTTTCCGGTACAAAGTTTTCGTCTTTTGTACATCAAAATCGAATTTTCAAATGCCAATTAAGATTTTCATCGAAAAGCAATCAGTTCCCAACACTTGGGGTGTCCAATTCTATCAATTCGTCCATTTTTGGTGGAATTCTCGGTTTGAGATTGCCAAGACCTAGCATTTTTGACACTAGAGCTCATCTTAGACGGTTAACTGAGGAAAATAGTGATGTGGGTGGTGATCAAGTTGGGGTTTTAGGACTGGATTTAGAAAATGTCAAGATTTTGCTGAAGCGGGTAGTCTTTCTGGGGGCAATGCTTTGTGGGGTTTTGGTTTTCGGGTGCAAGAGGGTGCTTGCAGTGGATGGAGTGCTAAATGCAGGGTACGGTGTGATTGAGCGGTGCACTTTGTTGCTGAGAAATGCGTGGCCTAAGGTGTCTATGGTTCTTAAAGTTTTCAAAGAGCACGGTATAATTCTGACTGCACTCTTAAGTCTATCTGCATTCTTCTCAATGGCAGAGACTTCGATAACGACGCTATGGCCTTGGAAGGTTTGCTTCCTTCCTCTCTCTCTCTCTCTTCTTCTTCTTCTTCTTCTTCTTTTTAAGGTTTTGAAGATTGATCATTCTTGTAGTTAGTGAATACCAATTCAAATCTGAATTCTGAGATAAAGCTTGGAAAAGATAAATAATGAAGTTGAACAGTTGCTGTTATTGAATGTTCTATGTTTTGGTCACTTTTATCATGCGAAGTTTGTCGTCGTTGTGCAATGGCATTTGGTGACTTAAAATAATAGCTTACGTTAGGCAAAGATTAATCTGATTTACTATTCAAGAAACTTTGATCTCATTTGGTGATTTGATGCTAATATATGTCAGATCCGTGAGCTGGCTGAGAAAGAGCCTGAAGATGGAGTGTTTCGAATGCTTCGCAGTGATGTAACCCGGTTTTTGACTACCATTCTCATTGGCACAACGTACTATTCTTTCCTGTCATCACTTAATTGTGTCTGTGTTCAACTTTTGTTTAAGTGTAATTTGTTGCAGATTCTTCTTTTGTAAATAGGGTGGTCAATATTGGAGCAACTGCTTTAGTTACAGATGCAGCCACAGCAATGTTTGGAGAAGCTGGTGTTAGTGCAGCAACTGGAGTAATGACTGTATGTACATAAATATTCTATCCTCTCTTGCGTTCCCCCACTCAACCTGCTTGCCTGTTTTCCTCTGTGTGTACTCATGTGTGTAACACTGGGTGAATTTGAATTAAAGTACTGCCTAAATCTCTCTGCATTAGGATAAATCTTTTAGCATCTGAGTTCTGGAGTTCACTCTTACAGTTTTATCCAGCATAATTGAAATGGTGAAAGATTGGGAAGGTGGTAATGGTAAATGAGCTGGATTTTTTTGAGACCACAGGGCCTTTGAGTGAGAGAATCAGTATATTAGGTGACTCTTGGACTTTCTAAGGCATAGATACTTTCATCTGAATCTTTGTGCACTAATCATTCTTGATATGGTTGATTAATTTGCATATCTTTCTTTTTTTACATCATTGATAACAAGAGTAGATATTCTAAAAGAAATTCAGGATGTCTTGTATGTGATCCATGATAGGCTTAGTCAATTTTTTTCAAGTGGAATTTCCCTTTTTAACTATTGTTTTCCTTTTTTTATTTTCTTCAACTTGTAAAACTATTAAATCTGAAGCTATCCTACAAAGAGCAAAGGCAAATGATGTTGTATCCTTTTTATACTATAAATTTCCTCTTCTCCAGAATGAATTTTTGGGTGGTCTACACATTTGTATATACTGAAGGGCATAGCTGCTTTGTTATAAAAAAGAAAGAAGAAAAGAAGGAATGAAATCATAACCAGTGAATTTTTCCTGAATGAAACTAGGTTGCTATTTTGCTTCTGACTGAGATCACTCCAAAAAGTATAGCTGTTCACAATCCTGCAGAGGTTGCTAGATTTGTGGTAAGTTTAGGTTTTCCATTTAATAACTTTTTAGAGTTGAACTGACAGCTAAAACTTTGCTGAAAAACTTCTAACTTTCCCTTTCAAATTTCATTTTCTATGTTACTGCATAACTCTTGTCTACTTAGCTGATGATTGCTTGCAATTCCAATTTGTTTGACTAATGCTGTTTGCTCTGTCTCTAGGTCAGGCCAGTGGCATGGCTTTCCTTGATATTATATCCAGTGGGAAGAATTGTTACATATTTATCAATGGGAATGCTTAAAATACTTGGTCTGAAAGGGAGGAGGTGAAGGAAATCATAACCTCCATTTAATCTGATTCATAGTTCCACTTCAGTTCATGCCATCATTGTGTTGACTCCTTTCTGAATGCATTGCATGTTTTCTCTTTAAATTAGTGAACCTTATGTTACTGAAGATGAATTGAAGCTGATGTTACGTGGGGCAGAGTTGAGTGGAGCAATAGAGGAGGAAGAGCAGGTATTGAAATAGGCTAAATTTTCTTATCGTGCCTGCATGAGTGTGTCTTTTTTTCCAAAGAAGAAATAGAAGTCTCTTCAGCATCTGAATGCTTTTGCTTAATGAATTTGATCAATATCATATATGCTAGAAACTAGTTGCATTTTACTTAGTTGAGTATGTTCTTCCATCAATTTCTATTTAAATAAGCAGCTTCTAGAGGATATCCAATATAATTTTGCAAATTGGTGACTTTTCTTTGTTTATAGTTCAGATGCTCAAATTTAGGAATTCCTTGCAGGATATGATTGAAAATGTGTTGGAGATAAAAGATACTCATGTTAGGGAGGTCATGACACCTCTTGTTGATGTAGTTGCAATTGATGCAAGTGCAACCCTTGTTGATTTCCACCATCTTTGGGTGACTCACCAATATTCAAGGTAGGGAAATGGTACTTCATCTCTTATGCCTTTTGTTCTTAAAGAAACCTGCTAAAAGATTTATCTGTTTACAGGGTGCCTGTTTTTGAGCAGCGTGTTGACAATATAGTTGGCATTGCATACGCAATGGATCTACTTGATTTTGTTCCCAAGGTCTGGAAATTCCGATGTTTAGAACTCCCTTTTTTTTCCCATCATTAGAACTTTTCTTATTAATTATATGCAACAATATCATAGAGTGCAGAATTATATTCTCTTTGATTTTGAAGGGTGAGCAACTTGAAAGTTCTACTGTGGGAGACATGGCTCACAAGCCTGCCTACTTCGTGCCTGGTAACTGTTGAGTTTTTTCTCAAATTGATTTTTAATGTTGTTCTTTGGGTTGACATGAGGTCTTTCTGGCTTTTCTTGAAACAATCTACTGGTCTTGGAGTTTAGATCTGACATGATTGAGGTAGTGTCTGGCTAACAAGACCATGTTTCATCAGAATCCCAATAAAAGTATAAAATGATCTCTACTATTTTGTTGGTTTAGTAGCCATTGTCTCGGGGACAAGAAAATGGAGAGATAGAGTACTTCAGAGTAAAATTTTAAGTGCAAAATTGACAGAAGGAAATTTTCTGGATAGGTTTGTGTTTTGGTATTTGTGTTATTGAATTGACAATATATCATTAAAGAATATAAATGTTGAAGTCCTCTTTTTTAATTCAATTTAATAATTTGTTGTTATTTAATTTATTCTTTAAGTTAAAATGAATAGAATTGTAACTTGGTTTTGCAGATTCAATGTCTGTCTGGAATCTTCTTAGAGAGTTTCGCATTAGGAAGGTTCACATGGCTGTTGTTCTTAATGAATATGGTGGAACTGTTGGGGTATGTATGAAGCCTCATCATGAAACTTTGTCCAATCAGAATCATCCTTACTGTTTGAATCTGCACCGAACATAATATGCTATTCAAATGTCACAATTTCATAAGGTCTGGCATGTAACATTAATATCAGGTTCGACATTGAAAAACAGACAGATGGGAGTCTTCTATAGTTGAAAACTCAAATGCATTCATGCGTTATGAAATTATTTTTCTTTGTGATGTTTAGTCGAGAGTGAAATCTGCACAATGAGAACATGGAAAAGTAAAGAACCTATCATGCATGGGTCTTCATTCCCTTTTGGATTGCTCGTTTTACAGTATTTCCACTCATTTTATTTATTTTTATATTTTATATTTTTTGGATGGAGCAGATAGTGACATTAGAAGATGTGGTTGAGGAGATCGTTGGTGAAATCTTTGATGAAAATGATTCAAAAGTAAGTCCAGTTACATCATTAAAGGACCTTAATGTTTAGTTTTTGAATCTGTTATTGGAGGCTAGTCTTTTTATTATATAGTTAATGACTTGAGATATTGCATTCTATCATTCATCAGCAAGGGGAAGCTAGGGAAACCTGTTGATGAAGACCAAAAGAAATTGCTGTGATGCAATGGCTGCTGATTTTCTATTTATAATTGATCTAGATGTTGCTTATTTCCAGTCTCTTGTCTCTTTTAGTTTGGCATCTGCCGTGTCTGTTTTTGCCATGTCACTAAAAGAATTGTCATGTCACTTTGCACATCATTTGTCTAGTTCTTCACCCTATAGGTCTCATATCAATCAGCAGTACAAGGTTGAGTTTTTGCCCATTCCCAAGTGATACTTATTTGATGCATTTGCTGTTACTGGTATTAACAGGAGGAGATCCAGAAGAAAACTGGCTATATTGTAATGAGAGCAGAGGGAATATATGATGTTGATGCCAATACATCTATTGATCTGCTATCTGAGGACTTAAATATCAAAATGCCAGAGGTATGTTACTCTCTTCTGTTACTGGTTTTGGTTGGTATGGCGTATGGAGCACACAGTGTAGAGTCTAGCTAAAAACTCAATTATGATCATGGCTTCGTTTGGGAATGCTATACACAGTACTTTTTCCCACATCACGTTATCTAAAAATGTAAATTTATCACAGATAGTTAATTTTAATTAATGTTTTATATTTTTAATCATTTTAATTAATATTTTCTATAGTTTTTGGATAGGAAACGACAAAAAAGCCTATAATAACAGTGCAACACAGCGCAGCACTCCCAAACAAAGCCCATTACTCTTGCTTCTTTTCTGTTGCTGTAATCTTGTCCTGCCATGTGCACAGGCTCACTAAAATTTCATTATGTGAAAGCTAATTGACCACAGGACTCTTAAACAACAGCCACTCAAATGAACTTGTTATATCTTATTTCAGTTAATGAAATTCGATTATTGTGACTGCTTTGAGGTTATTAAGTGAGCACTTTTGATGAAAAAGAGAAGATAAATTAAGCAGTTAAGCACAATCTGTTTTTTAATTGGTTGAAGTAAAGGTAAAGGCACAGTTAATGTCACGTTATAAATATCTGAATTCACATATCAAAGTCCTTTACTTTCAAATTTCATATTTCTAACCATCTTCTCTTTAATCCACCGTGCTGTTGTATAGGGACATCAATATGAGACAGTGTCTGGTTTTGTATGTGAAGTATTTGGATACATCCCTAGGACAGGTGAGAGCATCAAAGTTGTCCTCGAAAGGGATAATCGAGAAGATGATGATGAGCATGATGAAGTTGGATCTGATCATCAAGATGTAAAGGAAAGGCATCAAATATATAAACTTGAGGTAGGTTCAAAGCACTAGATGGATTTCATTAAAAAGACTAGGATAGAAAATGTATGCAGCTAGCTATCATGTGGTATCTTCCACACATGACTCTCTGACATCAATGCTATTGTGAGGGCATAGCATCTGTTCTTTTAGTAATATGCTTTTAGTTTATCCATTGAGATGTTTTATTGGGTACCTTGATTTGATTGCTAAGTGAAACTTAGCAACTAATAATAATCCATTTCCTAATTCTTCTCCAACATTCAAGTTTAAACTCTTTGTTCTTTTCTCGAAAACAAATTATCAATTTGATAACTGTGTAGGCCAATAAGACTAGAACTTGAACATCCATATGAATAAATGATTAATGTGGTGAAAATGTTGTCCTTGGTGCAGATATTAGCTGCAAATGCCAGAAAGGTTGGTGCTGTTCGTTTTGAGCAGATAAACAATAATGGGAAAGCATTGGCAGAGGCCAAAGAAGTAACTCGATTGATTCCCAAAATCATGAAGAGAAAAACGAATGTTGACAACTTGGATAACATTACATATGATGAGGATGCATTTCAAAAGAGACAAGAGGATCACCTTTCTGATGACTATGTAATGGCTGAAGATACGGAGGATAATGGACATTAGTTACATTACCATTCTGTTTTCCTTTTGTTTTAGCTCCATTTTTTGTTTCCTTTCCCCTTTTCTTTCAGCCCCATGAACAAGAGTAAAGACTTTAAGAAACGGAAGGAAGCCACTGGATTACTTGATAGAATAACATTGTAAAACTTTTTCACAGATGAAGTGAAGTATCGACATCTGAATCATCGAAGTTAGTTTTGTGCATGACAGTGTCTCTGGACCATAAATTCTCCAAGATTGGAGTCTGATTGGCCTGAACCTGGGTATGCTTGTTCTGCATGTGCATATTAGCTTCACTGTATAGAGTGCTCTGAAGAGGCAGCTCTGGTTGAAGCATCAATTCGGAGTGGAAAAACGATCTGGATGGCACGTGAGGCATAGCTGCATTGATCTGCTTTGATTCAGACAACAGCCGGGAGAGCTCTTTCTCCTGCCTCATCTCCTTTGCTCTCTCCAACTGTCTGAACCTCTCTTGCAGAAGAGCAATGGATGAATGAAAGACAGTTGGATCAGTCTGTCTATCCATTGGAAGACGAAGAGGAAGGTCTCACACTCAACAGGATTTGAAGTAAGTACCCTCTTTAAGGAAGACCTTAGATGCCTATGCTCATATATATAGGACATATATAAGACTTTAGATTATTAGTTTAATTCATCAATTCCGTTTATTTGATTCTGTATGACGTAAAAGTTTGAGTAGAAAAGGCAGCTGAGCTGCAAAGTCTAACGAGGCATGTATATGTGGCAATGGGAAGAGGTACAAGTACATTCTGGGGAGATGGGGGTGGGAGGAAAAATCCAAAGATAGGTGGAAGGTTGCATTTGGAAGGGTTTCTTTAAGGAGAATAAAAGACTGGGTGGGTTGTGGGTTGGAGAGGTGCTGCTATGCCTTTGGAGCCTTTTTGGTGGGGATTTGGTCGGACCTTCACATTTAGTTTTTAGCTTTGAACATTCTCTTTTTCATTTGTGGACAGCACGAGGCTTCAACACTGTGAACATAATTTGGGGTTTGATGTTTTTATCGATGAAAACCCCTTTTATGGAGAGAAGAAGAGAAAGAAGAATCCACCCAGGCCGAACCCTCCATTCTCTCTCTACATTTTCTGTTTTGTCTCCAAGCATTTGGATAGAAATGGCATGGAAGATCTAAGGTGAGATATTAGATTGGATGTAATGGTTGTGTTCTTGTTGGATTAATCTGCAGATTTCAAGTTGCTTTTGTGGACAGTGGGTTTTGAAAAGCAGCATGTCCTGCTCTTGGATACACATCTCATGGAATTCATCTATTTCTAGCCAAGTAGAATCAGTTCAAGGATATTTGTCTGCAACCTTGTGCCATTGATAAAAAGTTGCATGAGCCGTCCCATCAAATTATATCCAATTCCACAGATTCACAGATGCAATTCTAGTTTCAAGAACCATCTGAGAAACAGAATAATACTCAATAAAAAAATATATAGTACGGTACATGATTTGGATATCAAGGTTGACGGTATTACGTTCCTCAGCAAAATGTAGTTCTCATAACACACATAGGATAGGAGTGGTTGGTTATGGTCATGCAAGAAAATTTTAACGCCATGCAAGAATATGTTAACGTCACATAAATATCGTGTAGTTTTAATATTTTTATATGCGGTTATAATCACACTATAAAAGAACTTCTAAACACAAGTAATAATGTATGGTTATTGTCATATATAAAAATATTAGGATCATGATTGGTGCACACCCGAATCCAACATCCGGGTGTGCACCCCCCACATAAAAAAAAAAGATGAACCGAGTGATGGGCATTTTTTTTTTATATGATATGTGCATATTCGGATGTTGAATCCGAGTGTGCGTACATCATTTTTCAAAATATTAACGTCACAATTTTTTTAATAATTTATAATTTATTAATCAATGAACTAAAATCAATCGATAAGCTGAAGTGTCTAAATACCATAACTAATTATTTAAGGAGAAAATGATATGTTTGTGTGGCATTAACTTTTTTTATTCGGTGATAACCACAACCTATGTAATCATAATCACAATACATTGACTTGGTGACCAAATAAAACATTAAAGTAATGGATTTTTCTTTTATCCAATCATGAAAATAAAATAAGGATAATTTTTTTTTTTGAACAAGTTGTCAAGGGACGGGTTTCGGAGGAGGGGGAATGCACCTCAAGCTAATAAGTTGCCGGTTGATCCGAAGGGCCCGGTGCATAAAATAAGGATAATTGTTAACCATTTGTCTTAAAATTTAAATTTAATATTTCATAAAAAAATAAAAGAAAAAAGAAAGAAAGAAAAGAATAAGAAGAATACTTCTAACATGGATGAGACATCAAAGTGGTCGATGTCAAAAGAAAGCAGCCTTCCCTTTGGATTCAACGAAGAAACTTGGTGTTTTTAAATAGGCAACTTAGTGTTTGTTAAAAGAAAAAAAATATAATAATAAAGGTAATCTATTAACTGAAAAAATATAGTATAATTTAACTACTATTTTAAATGATACAATTTTAATTATTAAAGAGGTGTAAATTTCTTAATACTAAGGATTTTATTATTTATTTAATAATTTATATTTTATAATATAAACAATTTAAAATATAAAACAAGAAATTCTACTTTAAAGTAGCATTCAAATTTATAATAATGTTCAA